GTATTGAAGGCTGCAGTCCTTGACCTTCTGCAGCAAACGCTTCAGATCCTCCTCAGTTTCAGCGAGGAGGGTTGTGTCATCTGCATAACACAGGTTGTTGATGACTCTTCCACCAATCCTGATGTCACATTCCTCCTCATGTAGCCCTGTGTCTTGGATGATCTGTTCTGCATACTGATTGAAAAGGTATGGAGACAGAACACATCCTTGACGGACCCCCTTTTTTATTTTAAACCATGTAGTGTCTCCTTGCTCTGTTTTGATGACTGTCTCTTGGTCCATGTATAGGTTTTGCATTAGAACAATCAAATTTTCTGGGATTCCCATTCTTCTCAGAGTCAGCCACAGCTTATTGTGATCCACACAGTCAAAAGCCTTTGCATAGTCAAGGAAACACGGATAGACATCCTTCTGGTATTCTTTGCTTTCTGCCAAGATGCATCTAACATTACCTATAATCTGCACATCTGGCAGTTCTCTGTTGACATTGTTCCAAACATTTTTTGATAATTTTTAGGAGAATCTTGCTTGCGTGTGATTTTAATGATATTGTTCGATAATTTCCACCCTCTGTTGAATCACCTTTCTTTGGAATGGGAACAAATATTGATCTTTTACAGTCAGCTGGCCAGCTAACTGTCCTCCAAATTTCTTGGCACATCTTAGTGAGCACATCCAGGACAGTGTCTGTTTGTTGAAATATGTCAATTTGTATGCCGTAAACTCCTGGAGCCTTGTTTTTTGCCAATTCCTTCAGAGCAATTTGAACTTCCTCCTTCATCACCATAGGCTCTTGCTCATATGTTATTTCATGAAATTCTTCTGTGTCAGCCAATTTCTTCTGATACAGTGACTCTGTGTACTCCTTTCATCTTCTATTGATACTTCCTGGATCATTTAAATTCTACCCAAAGTATCCTTAAATATTGCCACCCGTGACTGGAATTTATTTTTCAGCTCCAAACTGACAATACTCCTCAATAATTTGGAGAGGCCCCTAACTACAGATTTCCCCAGTGTAATGCATCTCCTTACCTCCTGACTGCTGTTACCAAGGGTGTTAATTGTGGATCCAAGCAAGACGAAGTTGTCGACAGTTTCAATCTCTTCTCTATATTTGCTCATTGGTACAGTGGTAAGAATTTTTGTCTTCTTGACATTGAGATGCAATCCATACTCAAGACTGTATCCCTTGATCTTGTACAAGTGCTTCAAGTCCTCTTCACTTACAGCAAGCAAGTTTTTGTCATCTGTATAACACAGGTTATTGATGAGTTTCTCTCTGCTCCTGCTGCCACATTCCTCTTCAAAGAGTCCAGCTTCTTGACTAATGGCCAAAATGCAAAATGCTGGAGAATGAGGAAATGTTAAGTGAAGAGTCGATGTAGTCATTGTTTGACATATCAAAATACAAGGAATTCTGGATCTTCCTGAACATGCTGTATTGTTCACCAATATAACAGTAGTCTTAGAAATTCTTCTCCTGGTGTACCAAGGTGCTAAGAAAATCATCTTGTCACACTGGACCCATGATTAAGTTGAGTTTGGCTAAGCATATTTTTCCTTCCTGGAGAACTCTTCAAGACTTACTTTTTTTTTTTTTTTTTGGTTTCCTGTCTCTTCAACCCTTTGAAATCTCGGTCCAACCAGGCTAAGAATTTCTAAGATTTTCTTAAGAGTGGCTTTTTAAATTTTATTGTTTTGTGTGTATGTGTACCATTATATCAGATCTGACTGGTACAGGAGATTTCCCCTCCTTCTTCAGCAGAGCATCTGGTGGATTTGAACCATAGAGTGGCTTTAAAAGGCTGTTGTATAATCATTTGTTTCTGGACACCTCTGTCATTTTTGTAGTCAAAGTGAGTAAAAGTCAAATTAAGTTCTCGTAAGTGAACACTAACAAAGCTTGCGATTTCTTGGTAAACCTTCCTTGCCCCGTATCCATCTTATTGGTTAACTTCTGCTTCTTGAGCAAATTTTCATTTACATGTGTTTAGTTTGCAACTGGATATTACTACTTTTTTTTTAACAGCAACTCAGTTTTAGTCAGTTAGTATGTAAACATTTCTTTCTCAGGAAAGGCGGCCTTGGAAAATGAATCATAATTAATCCAAACAGTTGTGACAATCCCATTTCCCTATACAGTTATTTATGAGAAATGAATATCTGACCAATGAGATTCGAGAGCAAAGCTGAAACATCCAAGAATGTTAAGCTACTGAAATATTTCTGTACTATGTGAGTTCTTGCAGCCTAGTGATAAGGAGCTGCACTGCTAACCCAAAGGCATGTGGTTCAAATCCACCAGGTCCACTGAAAGATAGGCCATCTCTACCCATGCAATTTGCCATCTTCATGATAGCTGGTCTACTCAAGTCCGTTGTTGTGGTCTGGATATTGCTACTTTAAAGAACAGTTTTTGGAAATAGAATGAATTCCATTTGTGAAGTGGCCTAAGAAGAGGGACCAGCACATGTAAGCCTCACTGAGTTTTCAGTTCCCTCAGACTTCCTCAGTTGGCCATCCTCTTGCTTGACATTTGACACTTAAAAGTTAAATCACAAAGCCCATCACCTACCTTTGGACATATATGTCCTTTAAATCTACTTGCAAAGATATATCTCTTGTCAGGAGAGCAGAGGAGACGGTCAACCTCATGTGAAAATGCATGAACTCTAGAAACACTCTTTAACTCAGGCACTGTAAATGTGTAGATGTCACCTACACAATCACCCACCTGAAACCAAAGGTCACACAGTCACATCAATGAAAAAAGTCATGGGATCCTGATGCACACAGGAATGGAACAACTAGGTGCAGGATAGGCCCCTATTTTTTTTTGGCCCCTATTTCTTTAAACACATGCTGAAGATTGAAACCTCTGACCAGCTGACTCACAAAGTTGTTGTAATGATCCCATGGAATAAGATTTCTTTAAAAAAAATACATGAATAACTCTTCTCAAGGAGAGTTGTTCATTAGAACATTGACACTCTGGTTTTTTGCTGTCTCCCCCAAACCACATCTCCTCCTGCAATACCACTGTCCAAGTTCATTTTCTATCCAGTAGTGCACAACTAATAGAAAGGACATAGACATGACAAGTGAGGGAGTGGGATTTTTGTGTACATGTGTGCTTTGATTGTGGTGCGTGGTTTGTGGTTTGTTTTTTTGAAATAAGAATTGAAAATGTATACTTGATGTGGTTAAAAAAAGTGTATTGGGGAGGGGGTAGGCGGTGGGGGGATTGTATATCAGTGAATGAATTTTTCTTTTACTTTTCAAAGAGAAGAGCGAACTGTGGGTGAGTGGTGCGCAGAGAGAAAAGTGCACTAAGGAATGAATGGAAATCCAAAATATCTGTAAATGTTCATTAAAATTAATAAAAGAAAATAAAAAATTAAGACAGACTGGAGGTTTTCATGGTCAACCTCCTTGTTGCATTGGGCCTGACCCTGAGATTATATGGAAGTTAGAAATTAAAAGAGACAGATTGTGGTGTAACAATAACTAGTACTCAACACCTTGTGAAGGAAGTAGGTATTTTGCTTTGTGGATCCCTTCAAGATGGAGAGATTCACTTACCACCAAGAATGGACCAGCCTTTGTGAGAATGGTTTCCATGGTAACACCGCGCTTAGACATGGTAACAGCCGCCAGAGCATCTGTATCCTGACAATTCCACACCTTGACAGTATTATCTGAATCCAAAGTGAATGCAAGATGCCTCTGACATAGGGTCGTCATACAAATGATGCAACACAGCTGAATTGGGCTTTCCCAGATCAGAGTACCCTAGAAAATGAGACAAATACATCCATCTCTATTCATGAAACCTTCATGGAAAGCCTACCATGATTTCATTCTGCCATATTTACTTGGAAGCCTCTTCCAAATTTTTTCCCCTTCTTGTTTCTCAGATGAGAATATGAAAACTCTACTAAATATCTAAATTATTAGTGGAGAGTAAACACGAGTAAGGAACTCATTACAGGGTGAGCATGAAGAGCAATCCACTTCCCATTCTCAAATCAGTTCTGCCTCTTGCTAACAATGCAACACTCATAAAGTTACTTAGTTTCTTAGATGTAAAGTGAGTATGATGTTGGAAAGAACAGTTCCTATTGGACAATTGCAATGTTATATATCACAATCTATAGACTGAAAATACTTAAACTCACTGCCATTAGGTTGGAACCGACTCACACATAACAGCCCCTGCAGGAATATTTTTTGGAGGCTGTAAATCCCACAGGAGGAGATTGCTTATCTCTCTCCAGAGAGTTGCTTGCAGATTCCAATCAGAAAGGTGCCGCCTTTGGGTTAACAGAGCAATTCCCTATGGGCCAGGTCACCGGAACACACTTAGAATCCAATCTTGTTAATAGCAAGAGATACTAATTATCATAAAACCAGTTATTCTATCATTGGCCTTGACATTGCATACAAGAAAGTAATACATTCCCTTCTAGATATTTCTTTTTTTTATTGTGAAATGTATCAGACAAACAGAACATGACTCTGCAGAATTGGAAAGTTTAATTACTTATTACAAAGTAAACACCAATGTAACTACTTTTAAATTCTTTAAAATCAGTTTGTAGTCTAGAAGAATTATGCCTTTGGGTTGTGGTGCTGGAGAAGATTCTTGAACATACCACGGACCACCAAGAAAACAAACAGTTCTGTCTTCTAGAGGGTGAAAACAAGTTTCTACCTGAAGGCTAGGATTTTGAAGCTTTGTCTCACATACTTTGGGCATGTGACCAGGAATGACTGGTCCTTGGAGAAGGACATCATGCTTGGAATGGTGAAGGGACAGTACACGAGAGGAAGACCCCGGATGAGATGGGTTGATACAGCAACTGGGACAATGGGGGTAGGTGTGTCAGAATTGGTGAGACTGGCTCAGAATAGGGCAGGCTTCAGAGCTGTTGTACATAGGGTTGCTATGAGTTCAGGTGACTCGATGGCACATAACAACACAGCAGACCATTAGAAAATTAGTCTTTTTTTTTTTTACACATTTACTTACAGAAGTAAACACAAAAATCTGAGTTCTCTATGTGTTTAAATGAAATGGTCACAGATGACAAGCTAGAAGACCTGGTTTAAAAATTTGCTCCTATCTCCAACTCTGTATATATTATTTTCTAAATATTTCTAACTTATGTCTCTACCAGGAAGGACCCAGGAAAGCAATATATATGATACTCACCTTTAGGACATCCCAGGCACAAAGTATCTGTCGTATACTCACACCACAGATGATTGACTTCTCTTGTCCATCCACAGAAATGCCACTTCCTGAGAGATAGGCAATAAATTTTAGTCTTCCTAGGAATAAACAGATAATAACTGGCACCAGCAGATAAGGGATCGATCCAAACTTAGTAAAAAAATTCTAGAAATTAAAAAAAAATTTTTTTTTTCCTGCAGCTCTCCAGGAAGACTTTAGGAACATGTTTTCCCATTGCAGTTTGGTCATTTATGTGATATCGGTCATGTTTTCCCCTTTTTAAATCTCAGTTTCCACACATTTAAAAAAAGGAACAAGGAATTGTTCAGGGTTTGAGAAGAGTTGTCAGGAATAAAGTGAGCATTAGAGTATCATTTCAAAGATGCTCATGACAACTTTTTTTTAAAAAGTCCTTGTTAATTTCTTTTTATTCTTTTTTATTTTATGTTTGTTTCCATATAGAGAAGCTGTACTGCCATCTTGAAAGCAGATGGTTCAAGACCAGCAGCGGTTCTGCGGTAGAAAGATGGGCGATCTCCTTCTGTGATCTCTTTCTGCCTCTGAAAACCCACTGAAGGTTCAGCTGTGGGGCAGTTCTGACTGTATGGTACACCACCACAACTGTATAGATCTAGATCTATTTATCTAGAGTTTCCTTTGTGCACATTGTGTTTCACACATTCCTTCATCCATAGTATTTCCGATGATCACTCCCCATACACCACTGATCTATGTCCATTGTCACCTCATGTTTTTAGGTCCCCACTAGATCTATCCTCATTCCTTCACCTCTGCCCTCCACACACCAAACTCTTACATCCCATCATTCTTTTCCCCATTTCTTAGCCCATCTACTCCCTACTCTTTTCCCTTTTGGACTTATATCCACATCTTACTAGTTGTCCTTCTATTTTTACAATAATGGTTTTATGCAGTATTTGTCCTTATGAGACTGAGTTGGTTCACTCAGTATACTGCTCTCTAGCCTCTCCCATGTTACACAGCATTGTACAAAATCGAAATGCATTTAGATAAAAGGAGTAATACAGCTTGCTTTTATATTGTAGAAAGATTATTCTCACTTATCTTTTCAGCATAAAATGGACAAGAAGGGACACAAGGAGACAAGAGGGCAATATGGTCCTGTTGAATTTTAGTTACCTTACCCTTCAATAAAGAGCCTTGCTTAAGTATTAGGCTGCTATCAGATAGGAATGGTTTGAACCCACCAATACTCTATGGAAGGAACATGGGAGCAATCTGTTTCCATAAAGAATTATGGTTCCGAGGACTTCAAGCTCTACTCTGTTCTATCGAGTCACTGTGAATCAGAATTGACTTTAAGACAGTAGGTGTTAGGATTCCCTTCATGGAAAGAAACCACAGAATTAAATTCAGGGTGGAAATATTGGGGAATTAAGTTTATTATTCCTCTGAGACACTTGTCTGCATACCTCTGTCCTCCAGTTGTCTGCAGGCAAAGTCTTGTGGTCGAGTGAATGTCATGAGATGCTCCTGCCCTACTTGATTGAGGAAAAACTGCTTCCAGGTCTTGGTGCCCAGCTGTTCATCAGAGAAAGAGCAGAAGTTCCATCTCTTCAGACACAACGTTCTGGAACCAGAGCCAAAAATCTCATCAGGGTTCCTTGAACAACATGCCTCTCCCTCCATGGACGACTGTACTTTTACATCACATGAACTTTCACGTACACAGGGCTAGATGTCCCGAGCAAGTGCACAACCCTAGTCCTCTCCCACAGAGACACCTTCCTCCTGCTTTACTCTGCCCCTTTTTACTCACTTCCACAGCTTTTTATTATCTGCAAGTAGATGCCATTGCTAAAGGGAGAGAAATAGAGAGAAATTGTTAATCAGAATTTGCTCTTTGGTCCCTCGGCTTCCCAAGTGAACACATTTCTAGGAGCTGAGCTCACAGTTTAATCAGAGAGAATCACAATTTTCATAGGCCCCACAGAGAGGGAAGGGATGGGAGTTAGTAATAGAAAAGGCCTATCTTTGCTAATGCTGGTATCTCTATCGGTTCCAAGGAAGAACTTTCTATTTTTGTTGTTGTTGTGTGCTGTTGAATTGGATCCAACTGGCACACGAAGAAATTGCCCCTCCTTCTCCAGCAGAGCATCGGGTGCATTTGAACCACATGCCTTTGAGATTGCAGCATAGTTTCCTGCCACCAGCCCACTAGAGCTCCCTGAAATTTTAGTTTCTTTGTGATTTGCATAATCAATGAAACATAGACATTCCTCTGGTACTCCCTGCTTGCAGCCAAGAATCATTTAACATTAGCTACAAATGGTTCATCCTGGAGGTTAAACTAGGCTGGTCCTTGGAGGCAAAGATTCTGAAGCTTCCTCTGACATACTTTGGACATGTTGTAAGGAGGGACAAGTGTTTGGAGAAGGAAGTCATGTTTGGGAGGGTGGAGGGACAGCCAAAGGACAGGAAAACCCTATATGAGGTGGATTGATTCAGTGTCTGTGTAATGGGGATAGGTGTTTCAGAGACAATGAGATTGACACAGGATAGATCAGGGGTTAGGGCTGTTGTACATAGGGTGGCTATGAATCTCAGGTGACTCAACGGTACAATACAACAGCAACAGTGGCTTAAATAAAGACTTAAAGACCATGTAGTTAGAACCTCAGTTTGTTCATTTTCATAAAGTTAGACCTTGAGAGCATATGATGCTAACTCTGTTATTCAGCAAATTGGTGCTCAAGTTTGTTAAAAGAGAGCTCTGAGTCCTATGAGCACTGGTGTATCAGAGTAGAATGGATAGATCTGGAATTCTGATCAAGGTAAGTAGAATTAGGGAAGGCTGTTTGGGTGGGATGAGAGGGTGGAATAACCCAGGGCTGATGGAGACGTGAGCAAGGCAGCAAGGTGGGGATGTGGGAATATGTACTGATCAATTCAATAGATCAGCTGAGGGTGAGGAGGCTTTTACCTTGTTCACTTGGGAAATCTGCAGCAAGCTCTGTACATCCAGGAAGGAGAGGATTTTAAGAACTACTACATCAGGAAATTGTCGCTCCATGTCACTCAGCCCTGGCACAGCCCAGTCTCCTTTCTCCACTACAAGTTGCTCTGAATTTAAAGGTTTGGCTGAAATTTGCAGCATTTGGAAGGATCTCCTCCCACAGCTTTGTTAGAAACAGGTTACAGGTGTGCAGACTGACATCCTGATCAGCCTCTTTCCCTGAGGCTGGATCCACCTAATTGAGGGCATTTCGGGCCCCACCTGGTCTATTAGTGCCACTGAACCCCACTTAACACCGTTTTGCATTTTTTTTGTGGGAAAATGAAGGAGTAAAGGTTTAACTCATTGTTGCTGAGCTTCCCAAGCCTAGAAAATTCAAACTGTCCTCTTTCCTGGGGGAGCAGGCAGAGCATAGTTTTCAGGATATGCATCTTTAAAGTTCTGATAACTGATGCGATTTTTAAAAGATCAAGTGTTACCTACTTATCATAAGGAAGGGAATGATATGTTTGTATATTTTAAAAAGTTTACTGTAATATTTTTTATATTTTAAAACATTATTTTTTAAATATTTTTTTTACTTTTATACTTGTTTACTTAAAAAGTTTGTATACATTGTTTTTCACACTGGACCTTTCCCGTCTCCTTTTCCTACCCCTCCTTCTACCCACCAAATGACCCTATGATTACCCCCCTGCCCATCCTCACCCCTTTGCTCTTATCCTCCCTGCTTAGATCCTTAAACATGCTTTACCAATTGTCTTTCTGTTTCGACAGTGTGTCTCATGTGGTATCAGGATTGGAGGAAGATTCATCAACAAACTGCACTCTGCAGGCGATTCAACCTTGCTTGTCAAAACAGAGCAGAATCTGAAGTTTTTGTTGCAGAAGATCAAGGACTTAAGTTTTTAATATGGATTGAAGCTCAACATCAAGAAAACAAAGATTTTCACCATTGGGTCAATTCACAGCACCATTGTAGATGGAGAAGAGATTGAGATTGTTATCAATTTCAGCTTGCTGAGCTCTACCATCAACACTTGCGGCACCAGCAATTAGGAAATCAAAAGATGAATTGCCTTGGGAAAATCTGCTCAAGAGCAGTGAAGAGCAACGATGTCAATCTGGAGAGTAAGGTGCACCAGGTCCAGGACATGGTCTTTGCAATTTCTTGCTATGCATCAGAGACCTGGACAATGACTAGGGGTAATAGAAGAAGAAGAATTGATGCCTTTGAGTTGTAATACTAGAGAAGTGTATTGAACATACCATAGACTGCCAAGAGAACTAATGCGTCTAACCTGGAGAGGGTGAAACCAAATTGCTCCCTAGAGGCAAGAATTTTGAAGCTGTGTCTCACCTATTTTGGGCGTGAAGCCAGGAGGTACCAGTTCTTAAAGAAAAACATCATGCTTGGACAACGCAGGAGAGGAAGGCCCTGAATGAGACGGATTGACACAGTAACTAGGGTGATGAGAGTAGGTGTGTGGGAGACAGTGAGATGGGCTCTGGAGAGGACAGAGTTCAGGGCTATTGTGCATAGCGTCATATGAGCTGCAGGCAACTCGACAGCACAGAACAACAATTTCTGGAATCATACTGCACAATCATCGTGCAGAATTCTTGGTCTATTCTTTATCTATTGTAAACAACCATTTGTGAAGGAGGATCCTAGAATTCTTAACTAAGATCAGAATAAATCATATATTTAAATTTCTGTTAACAAACAATAGTATTTGGTTTTGCCCTAGGGAATACTTCCTAAATGCAGAACTCTTAAATGCCATTCCTGCTCTGTTTACAAGGATCTCTTTTAATGCCTTCTCATCCTCTCTCATTTTCCCTTCAACATGATGAGTTGCTGTCCATCGAAAACACCACATTTTATTTTGCCTCACTGAGCTCCTGCGTCATTGCTGGTCTTAGACTTTAAGATGCAGGGTGGTAATTCTGAAAGAAAGCATTTACAAAGGAAATCGTGTTCAAACATTACTTTTAGCTGCACTTCTTGCTGGCACGTGGTTAGAGAAGACAGAGGAATGAAATATGTTTCTCCCATTAATTAATTAGCATCTTAACTTCCCTAGAATAGAACGTGTTACACTTTTTATCATATTTAAGTTTGCTCTCAAAATTCATTGACTGCTTAACATTTTTTCCCTTTTTCTATTCATGTTTTGTAGTGTGCCCTCTAATCTCTTAAGAGGTGGGGGGAAGACTAGGAAATTTCCTCAGCCCTGCTCATTTGCATCAGATTCTACTCTCTGTGATACCCTAGAATTACCGATGACATCACTGACAACTCGAATTTTTATCTATCATGATGTTTATTAGTCCAGTGGTGAAGATTTTGGATTCTTGATGTTCATTCAGGTGTAATCAATATTAAAGGCTGTTGTCTTGGATGTACTCCATTAAGTGTTTCCTGTCTTCTTCACTTTCAACAACTAAGGTCATGTCATCTGCATATCAGAGGTTGTTGACAAGTCTTCTTGTAATCTTGGTGCCATATTCTTCCTCATATAGTCCAGTTTCTCAGTGTATTTGCTCAGCATACAGATTGAATAAGTATGGTGAAAGCACGTCATCCTGACTTTCCTTTCCATACAAACCTTTCCTGACTATAAACCATAAAGTCCTCTTGTTCTGTTCAAAAGACTGCTTCTAAGACTATGGGAGCATAATTAAACATTCTGAAATTCAACTGTACTGAATATATGGTTCAAAATCAGCAAGGGAATGTGTTAGGGATGCATCCTGTCTCCATAGCTTGTCAATCTATATGCAGAAAAAATAATTGTAGAACTGGGCCTTCTGAGGAGGAATGTTGGTATGAGGATTGGAGGAAGACTCAACAAACTACCCTATGCAGACGACACAACCCTGCTTGCTTAAACCAAGAAGGATCTGAAGCTCTTGCTGCACAAGGTCAAGGACTGCAGTCTTTGATACAGATTGAAACTCAACATGAAGAAGACAAAAATTCTCACCCCTGGGCCAAATGGCAACACCATGATGGATGGAGTAGAGATTGAGATTGTTAACAGTTACAGCTTACTCCACCCCACAATCAACACTTTTGGCACCAGTAGTCAGGAAATCAAAAAGTGAACTGCAGTAGGTTAATCTGCTGTCAGAACCTTTCCAGAGTACTGAGAAGCAATGATGTCAGTCTAGAGTCTAATGTGTGCTTGATCCAGTCCATGGTCTTTGCAATTGCTTGCTATGCATTAGAGGGTGGGAATATTGACTAAGGAGGACAGAAAAATTCTTCAATGCCTTTGAGGTGTGGTTCTGGAGAAGGCTTGAACATACCATGGACTGCCAAGAAAACAAATAGGTCTGTCTTAGAGAGGGTGAAACCAAATGTTCCTTGGAGGCTAGGATTTTGAAGCTCCATCTCGCATACTTTGGTCATGGGACCAGGAGGGACCGATCTTTTGAAAAGGACATCATGTTCAGAAGGGTGGAGGGACAGGGAAGGAGAAGATGACCCCTGAAGAGATGGATTGATACAGCGCCTAGGACAATGAGGGTAGGTGTATCGGAGTCAGTGAGACAGGCTCTGCACAGGGCAGGTTTCAGAGCTATTGTACACAAGAATGTTATGATTTGTAGACGACTTGATTGCACGTACCAGCAACAATTAAAAAATTACTGGGAGCTCTGATGGCCTAGTGGTAAGAAGCTGTACTGCAATCCCAAAGGCACATGGTTCACATCTCCCCTCCTGTGTGTTTTAGTGTGTCTGAAAACCTCTGGAGGGTGAGCTATGAGTTGATTCTGACTTGATGGCACATAACAACGGCTATATATTTTCTTATTTACACAATTTAAACTGATGATTCATTTGGTTTTTTAACTACCCTTAATACCAATAATTTTCCCCCCATTCCTTTCCTAACATTTGCAAACTATTTGTATTCCCAACAGTGCAATGTTTTAACTGCTGTACTTGGTCCTCGACCTCATGGTAAGGGCAGACAGAGCTCCCCAACCAGCAGTGAAGGATCTTTACTACTGGATGACAAGCAGATGACTCAGTTAAAAAAACACATAAAATCCAATTTTAGCAACTTTTTCCATGGCTCACTCTAACAACTACTGCATGTCGGGCCCCAGGATAGGAAGTTTCTATTAGAAGTTAACCGGAAGTGCTTTCTGTGGTCACATAGCTGAGAGGATGGGAGGAAGCAGTAGAGGCTGGAGCGGAGTTGGACTGTGGTGCAACCACGACAACGGTTTCAGGCAGCTCACTGGGGACCTTGAAGGTAGATGACCAATTTGGGATAAAACAAACAACTGACTTCATTGCCGTGGAGTTGGAACCCGCTCAGAGCTGGCCCTCCTGTGAGTTTTCTAAGGCTGTAATCTCATGGGAGGAGAGTGTCTTTTTCCTGAAGAGCCATTGGAAGGGTTAAAGCACCGGAGAGTTCTGGCCTTTGGTTTAGCAGCACAACTCCCTACAGGCTGTGCCAGCAGAGCTGGGATAAAGGGGTGAAAATTTATAACTGTGCATCACCAGGTACTGTGGTGGTAAAGTGTGTTGTTATGCTGTTCACAGAGGTTAGTAGTTTGAATCAGTTTCTATGAGAAAGAAAAATAGGAAGGAACTCTTCCCATGTCTCTTTGAGTTGGAATTTGCTTAAAGACAGTGCATTTTTCCCCCCATGGGATCATCTAGTCATTGGATATAAGTTTATTTAGTAAAGGGAACATGATTTGGGGCAAATAAGACTTATGTTGTTTTGTTATGTGCCATTGAGTTGCCTGCAACTCATAGCAACCATATGTACAAAAGCCCTGAAGCCTGCCCTGTCCTGAGACAGTCTCGCCGACTCACACACCCTTTCCCCCTTTGCCCGTGTCAATCCATTTCATCCTGGGTTTTCCTCTCCTGTGCTGTCCCTCTACCCTTCCAAGCATGATGTCCTTCTCCAACAACTGGTCCCTCCTGGACACGTGCCCAAAGTATGTGAGACAGAGCTTCAAAATCCTAGTGTCCAAGGAGCAGCTTGGTTTCACCCTTTCCAAGAAAGAAGTGTTTGTTTTCTTGA